GTTTCATTCCATTGGGGAAAGAGCTGCATGGGTGAGACCACAGTGTTTTGGGGATGGGGGGATCCCAGCGGGGATGGGGGATCCCAGGAGAATTGCATAACGAAGACAGGGGGAGTCACCAAGACCTGGTCCCGTTGCTATGACTTTTGCAAGAAGCTTCACAGTGCAATACATTGAAATCCAACCAGACTCCACCTCTGAGTGTTTGTCTTGTCAAATTAAAACTGGAGAAAAAACAGCTCTAGAGTGGTTAGACATTTTTAAGAGGATAACATGGTAGCTGGTTGGCTGTTTTCATGGCATGGCTCTGACTTGGCACATGTGGCTGGTCTAAATGTATTGTGCAATTTGCCTGTGGATGGCGTGATGCATATAATGTATAGCAGGGAGCATCAAGGCCCCTGATTTGACTTATCCATGAGGCAGCTCTTTCATGGAAGGGCCTTAGTGCCCCAGGGGTGGGAAAGAAGGCCTTGGTCCCTCATCTCCTGCTCTTCCACAGATATGTCTGAGTGGGCCAGAAGGGAATTGTTTCTTCCTCCACTTCCCTTCCCCAGCAGTGCTGGGTGTTTGCTTCAAGCCAGGATGGGGATAGTGCCTGGGCTGTGCCAGTTCTCCTGCTGGGGCTCAGTCCCAGAGGGTCTTGCCCCTCCACTGAGAGTGAGACTGATGCTGGATGTGGTGTCAGGAAGGAATTTGGGGGGGTTGGAACAGGGGGACTTGGGAACCCAGATGTCTGAGTTCCCTCCAGCTCTGGGAGGGGAGTGAGGGCTGAGAGTTGTTGGGGGAGCCTGCATGCCTTGGTTCTCTCTGCTCAGCCCCCAGTCAATGCCAGAGTCCCTCACAGGGCAGCTTCTTTTGAGAGGTTTCTTCTCTACCCATTTCCTGTCCACTTCCTGCCCATATGTCTCCTCCCCACCAATGAAGCTCCAGCCTCCTCCCTTCCCCCTCAGTCCCTGCCTGGACAGTAAGAGGAAGGAGGTCTGAAGTAAAACTCACAGCTGACTCCACCTGTCAGCCTGCCAGCTCCATGCCAGGAGCCAGCACCTTCCTTGTCCTTTTGATTTTGGGTGACTCTGGCTTGGAGGTGAGCAAGTGCCAGATGGGAAATGCATAGAGGGAGAACAGCCCAGAGCAGCATCCCTCTTGCAGTGGCCAATTGTTAGAATTGTAAGAAATGAGGTCTGAAAGGGACCTCAGGAGGTCACATCTAGTCCAACCCCCTGCTCAAAGCAGAACCAGCCCCAACTAGATAATTCCAGCCAAGATTTGTCAAGCCAAATCTTAAAAACCTCCAAGGATGGAAACTCCACCACCTCTCCAACTTGTTCCAGTGCTTTAGTACCCTTCTAGTGAGAGTTTTTCCTAATATCTAATCTAAACCTCCCTTGCTGCAGCTTGAGCCCATTGCTCCTTGTTCTGTCATTTGTCACCACTGAGAACAGTCCAGCTCCATCCTCCAATTTTCTCACATTTTTTCCAGTGGGGGGGGCTCTAAACTGGACACCAGACTCCAGATGTGACCTCACCAGTGCCAAATAGAGGAGAAGAATCACTTCCCTTGATTTGCTGGCAGCGCTGCTACCAGTGCAGCCCAGGATGCCGTTAGCCTTCTTGGCAACAAGGGCACACTGCTGGCTCATATCCATCTTCTTGTCCACTGTCACTCCCAGGTCCCTTTTTGCAGAGCTGCTGCTTAGCCAGTTGGCCTCCAGCCTGTCCCAGTGTATGGGATTGTCCTGCCCTGAGTGCAGGACTTTGCACTTGTCCTTACTGAACTGCATGAGACATCATTTGGTCCAGTCCTTCAATGTGCTGAGGTCTCTGAATACTAGCCCTACCCTCCATTTCATTTACTACTCCCTCCAGCTTGGTGTCATCTGAAAACTCCATCCTATCCTCCAGGTCACCGATGAAGACAGTGAACAAAACTGGTCCCAGGACCAACTCCTGGGGCACTCCACTTGATACCAACTGCCAGCCAGACACTGAGCCATTCATTACTACCCATCGAGTCCAACAACCCAGCCAACTTTCTATCCACCTTACGGTCCATTCACCCAGCCCATACTTCCTCAGCTTGGTTGCAAGAATGCTGTGGGAAATGGTCTCAAAAGTCTTGCTAAAGTCAAGGTATATCACATGTGCACTGATTTCCACATAGCCAGTTATCTTATCATAGAAGGCAATCAGGTTGGTCAGGCATGAGATACCCTTGGTGAATCCATGCTGACTGCTCTTAATCACCTTCTTCTCCTCTAAGTGCTTAGAAATTGATTCTTTGAGGACCTTCTCCCTGATTTTTCTAGGAACTGGTGTGAGGCTGACCCATCTGTAGTTCCCTGGACCCTCCGTCTTTCCTTTCTTAAAGATGGAACTAGATTTGCCCTTTTCCAATCATCCTAGTCTACTCTTGATCACCACAAGAATTCAAAGATGATGGCCCGGGCCTCTGCAATCACATCAGCCAACTCTCTCCACACTCTTGGATGCATTGCATCTGGCCCAATGGACTTGTACACATGCAGCTCTTCTAAATAGTCCTTAATCTGTTCTTTCACACTGAGGGCTGCTTACCTCCTTCCCAGACTGTGCTGCCTGGTGCAGTAGTGTGGGAGCTGCCCTTGCCTGTGAATTGTTGTCCCACAGCCTGGAAGATTGCTCCACTCCTACCTGGGGCTGGCTTCCTCTGAGGAAGCTAAGGGCAGACCCCCAGGGCTGGGAGCACCTGGCAGGGAAGGACTATGTGCAACGGGGAAGGGCAGGACACCTGGGTTCTGTCCTTCCCCCCAAGAGGGGAGTGGGCTCTAGGGGGTTAGAACAGAGGGTTTAGGAACCTGGACTCCTAACCCCCCAGGCACAAACTAAATTCTTCTGTGAATCCCAGCCAGCAGAGGCCTGGCATCAGCCTCCAGGCTCCCTGAGACTGAAGGGTGGGAGGCTCTTGCCTTCCTCAACCATCCCTGGCTGGAGATGGGGGCCTGGTGTTGCTTGCCATGTTGCTTTATGTATCTGGGCAGCTCTCGTGGTTTCACTCTGCCGGCAACCCCTCCCCAAACAGCCCAATCCACCCTTGGACCTGAACCCAGCCAACTCTACCCCATGCCAGGTTCCAGGAGGGCTCCTGCCTCCTTTGCTCTCTGGCTTCCAGCTCCCAGCCCCCTTTATTCCCAGGTCCTTCTGTTTCTGAGAAATGGTCCTGTCTCTAGTGGGTTGTGGAATAGAGAAAATCCCACACAATTTACTGATTCGTTTTGATGCACTGGCTGGGGGAGTAGTTAGCTGATTGCATGATTTCACAATGATTACACACTTAATTTATACAACACAATTTTATTTTAAAACTCTTTGCTACGTATATAACACTGCTTAGCTTTAAGAAACACCACAAACATTAAAAACACAATAATTACATATATCAGAAACAATGCTCCGAATGCACTTCCTTCCCAAACAATGCTATAAGAATTAGTGTTACAAAAACAACTACAATTACAACTAAAAGTTAAATTTGAATCAATACTGTTATTTTTCATAACATACTTACAATCCTAGAATTCCGAGAAGCCAAATACCAAAATATGGTTTCATTCCTCAGTAGTACGATTTAATGGGTTGGCCTCAGTAGTACGGTTCAATAGGCTGGCCTCAGCAATACGATTCAATGAGCTGGGCTCACCAGTGATAGGACTACGTCCCCTTCCTTCAGTCCCTTTCGGGCGTTCCGCGGCTTCAGTGTGAACTAAGGGATTCGTGTTCACGGAGAGGCTTGATTAGGTGATCAATCTAATCCGACCTTATACTTGCGGTTCTTCCTTCGTTGTTCTGCAAGTGAAGTCACCTCCAAATTGGGACAGTAAGTTACAGGTTTTTATTGAGTGAGCTGCCGTCATTGGGCTCCTCCTACTCAATTCATCATAACTCCCAAATTTGGGCTCGGATCTTACTCAACAGAAATTACCTTTGTTGAGCATTTTTAAATTATTCTTGGGGAGACTTCCATATCACTGTAAATACTCTTTTCTTAGCAATTTGGTTAAAAGGCCTTAGGCTTTGATGTCTCGGAATTTAGGACATTTGCTTTCTTTGTAAAAAACTTCTAAAGATACAATTTAGATTAAGACTTTAAGTGAAGTCAGGACATTTCGCACGTAGCTCCAAAACAATGAGCTAGATAAGGAGATAGATCCTATCTTCTTCCTGAAACTGGCTAATGGGCAATCTTTACAAACATTCAAACTATTTCATTCAATATGACAGGTCCCTGTTGCTTTTGGTTTCCCATGGCACGTTCTACCTGTTGTGGGCTAGAACCCAAGCATCCAGGCTTCCCCTGATTCAACCTCCCCTTTGAGGTCCTTGCTGAGGCCTTTGAATTGAGAGCATAGAAACCCTAGAGTGGTGAAGCTGGATGGGACTGGGGCCGGGGGGTTAGGTCACATCTAGTGCAATCCCTGCCTAAAGTAGGATTAGCTCTGTCCAAACCAGCCCAGACACATCCATCATCAGAGAGAAGTCAGGCTGGAAGGGACCTGCAGAGGCCATAGTCACGTGTCAGGTTTGATGGTAGTTTTATAAAGAATTTAGATGATGGACATAACTCGGCTGGCTTGGCCAAGGCTGATCCTGCCTAAGGCAGGGGTTAGACGAAGTGTGACCCTGCCCCGGTCCCTTCTAGCCCCACTTCTCCATGACTCTAAATGACTTCTGCCCCTTTGGGGCATTCTGGGGAGTTCAGAAATTAATTGGGTGAGTGGGAGGCATTAGCACCAGTTCAGCTAACCACATTGGGGTGGTTTTTAGTATGATGTCATGCCTTTGAGCAAGCACTGACTGGGAGTGAAATTTCTCTTCCACTGTCTGATTGGCTTCAGTTCAGGAGCAAAGCTTGGCATAGGGTGGGAATCTCCCTGGCCTTTTTGTGCAGGAAATGGCTAGATTCAATGAGGCCGTGAAGGCAGGAAATCTAGTTGGAGCTGTTTGTGGAGAACGAAGCCAACATGGAAAAAATCACTCTCCGCATTGCTGCCATGAGTGAATCAGGGCCAGGGAAGTCCACATTCATCAACACCTTCTGGGGCTTGGCTGATGATGACGAAATTGCTGCCTCCACAGGAGTGACTGAGACCACCAGGATCACAACTCGGTATGAGCATCCAACGTTCCTCAATGTGGTATTTTGGGCCCTGCTGGGCATTGGGACACCCAATTTCTGACCCAGAGACTTCTCTGGAGGATGTTGGGTTCACTTGCTTTGATTTCTTCATCATCATTGGCCACAAGCACTTCCAGTCCTTCTACGCTGACTTGGCCCATGAGATCCAGTGCCTGAGAGAGAGGTTCTGTTTCAGGTGTGGTGCCACTGGTGGGGGCAGGGATAGGCATGAAGCGATCATACAATGTGACATACACAGTGCTGCATAAATTTCTGAAGGATGTGGTCACTGATGCACTGCAACTCCTGAAAAAGGCTTCAGAGGAGATATAGGACTGGCAAGAGACAGACCACATAGAGACAAACAGGCAAATTGGTGAGCTAGAAGCACAGACAGCTCCTCTGCCCATCACATTGGCTTCTGCGTTGCAACCTTGTTGTACCAAAAGGGTCATCTTCTCCATCTACAGTGTCTGTGGGTATGTGACTCCAGTGGAGGCTGGGGACTACAGCACCAGTGCACCCCCAGTGTTTTGGGGACTGGGGAGACCCTCAGTGGGGCAGAGAATTCCTGAATGGGGGGTGGGGTGAGGGCAGTCACCAAGACATCTTGCTCCCCTTGCTGTTGCTTTTGCAAGAAGCTTCATGGTGCAATTCATTGAAATCCAGCCAGACTCTGTCTCCAAGTGTTTGTGTCATTGCATTAAAGCTGGAGAGAAACCCTCTATAGAGTTGGTAGACATTTTGAAGAGCTAACATTGTAGCTGATTGGCTCTCTTTGTAGCTGATTGGCCATTGTTGTAGCTGGATGGCCATTTTATGGCATGAGACTGACTTGGCACATGTGGCTGGTCTAAATTTATTATGTGATTCACCCATGAATGGTATGATACATATAATGTGAACCAGGCTGCCTCACAGAAAGGCATGAGTGCCCAGGGGTCAGAAAAGAAGGCTTGATTGAGGGGCATCTAGGTGTGGCTCTCTTGTGTATCCCAGGTTGTGCTGGCTGTCATGTGGAGCCAGGAGGGAATTGTTTCCTCTTGTTCTTGCTGCTACACAGGTCGAGGGAGGTGGGGGTGGTTAAGCCTTCTCCACCAGTGCTGTGTGTTGGCTGCAGGCCAGGCTGGACCTGGTGCCTGGGCCATGCCAATGCTCCTGGTGGGATGAACCCAAGAGGGTCCTGGCTAGAGGGTCTTGCCCTTCCCTTGAGGGTCAGACTGATGCCAGATTTGAAGTGAGGAAGGAATTTTCTGGGGGGCTGGAACAGGGGGGTTTGGATGCCTGGGTTATATCCTGCTCTGGGCGGACAGTGGGGACTGATATTTTTTTCAAGCCCTGTGAACTGGCAGCTGGGACACCTGGGTTTTCTCTACTTAGCACCCAGTCAATGTCAGAGCCCCTCCCTCTGGCACAGGGCAGCTTCTTTCAAGAGGTTCCCCCATCCACCATGAAATTTTTGCATTTCTTGTCAACATCCTACCCACACAGCTCCTCCCCAACAATGAAGATCTCACCTCCTCCCTCCCCTTCTGGTTCCAGTCCCATGTCTGAACCACAACAGGAAAGAGGTCTGAAGTTGGACCCACACCTGAATACACCCCTCAGAGTGCATCAGGGCCCTACTGAGCTTGGAACAGCTCATGCCAGGAGCAAGCACCTTCTTCCTCCTTATCTTTGTGGCTCTGGATGACTCTGGCTTGGAGGTGAGCAGGTGGTGGGTGGAGAATGTAGGTGCATGGAGTGGGGACAGGCCAGGGCATCCTTGCTGGGGACACCAATTCCTGGCCCTAAAGCCTTAGAGACTGGGTGCTTTAGAGGAACCCAGTGCTGGGCAGGAGTGGATAGGAGTGGGGAAGGCAGAGCCCCGGCCTGGAAACACCTGGCAGGTAAAGACTGTGGGTAAGGGGCACCTGGGTTCTCTCCACAAGGGAAACTCTAAGTGGATTTAGAGCAGGAGGTTTAGGAACCTGGGCTCCTACTCCCCCAGACACAACCTAAATCCCTGTGGCAGTACCCTGCTGGCAGAGGTCTGACACCAGCCTCCAGGCTCTTAACTACAACTCTCAGTAGAACCCAGGCACCTGGCCCCTCCCGCCTGCTGCCTGTGAGTGGGTGAGAATGAAACACCCCCCCACTCATGACACCCACTGGGGTAGGGATGGGGATGAAGATGCTTTGAATCCCTGAAAGGGAAGGATCTGTTGTCTCTCAGCTGCAGTGTGAGGGGGTAGAGAACTTGGGTGTGCACCTGAGGACCCAAACAACCTGCACAGAGGGCAGCTTCTCCCAGAGCGAATAAATGTAGAAAACACAGACATTTCTGGGATTTTGGGTCTTGCCCCTCTGATCAGAGTCAGCCCCACGCCGTGCTGAGTTTGACGCTCATGGACCTGGGCCTGCTTCACCTGCCATTGCAGTCCAGGACATGGGCCCATCTTGGGATTCCCCCTAGGTGATTTGAACCTGTGCCTTCCTGGCCTGGCCATGGCAGGAAAGGAGTGGGACCCTCATACCCCAGGTTAACTTGGGCAAGTTCAAGGGTGGTGTTGATGTCTTGCTCAATGGGCCTGGTCACTGGGTAAGAGCAGTGATAGAGGCTGAACACCCATTGCCTGGGCTGGTCCCTCCTGGAGTAGGGGCTGGACCAGCTGGTACCTCCTGAGGAACCTTCCCACCCAGTGTCTCCATGATGCCCCCTTGGGGCCTGGAGGCATGTGGTGAATGGGTGATCTTCCTCAGGTGTAGGCAGGACTATGGACACCTCCCACTGGTGTGGAGGAGACCCCAGTGCCCAAAATGTCCACCAAAAGGCCCAGATTTCACCTATAAAAACCCAGGCAATGATGAGGGCTGTGGGACCCATCCTTACCAGCTAAGAAGACCTTTGTATCCCCCATAAAGGCCTCCTGGCTATGTGGAGACACTCTGCCTTCAGGGTTATGTAAGACCTATACAAGGCATACCCATTCTCTCACCACTTCCTGTTCACATCCTACCCATATGGCCCAGCCCTACCAAGATGACTCTGGCCTCCTTCCTCCCCTCTCCTGAGTCCACTGCCTGGTCGTGATCAAAAAGGCAAACAATCTCAGGGAGGATGAAGAAGGGAATTATGAACTAAATGGAAAGTATGGTGATGTCTTTTATTAACCCACAGTGTTTTCACACCTTGAATCCCATGCCTAAATCTGATCCTCATGCCTCCCAAGGGATGTGGAAGAACTGGAGAAGGTCCAGAGAAGGACAACAAGGATGAGTGGTATGGAGGGACTTCCATGGGAGGGGAGACTAATGAGGCTAATGAGAAAGATATGGAGGAAGGATGCAAGGATGGCTGGATAGATAGGGTGTGAGATAGGTAGGTGGATATATGGTGGGATTGTGGATGAATGGAGTGAGTGTGGGGTGGCTGGCTGGATGAATGAATACACTGGTGGTGGATGGATGGATGGATGGGTGAGTTGGTGGGGTGTGGGATGGCTGGGTGGAATATGGGGCTGAAGGGTGTGTTCAGAGCAGAAAAGGGCCCTAGGCTAAGATAGACAAAGTCCTGACAATCACTCAGAAGCCCACCAGGGTGACCCCTTAAGGGGGAAGTGCTTTGCAGGGCTAGGGAGGAAAGGCGGGGGGCAGAAGGCCCAGGTAGGGGGAGAGCTGGCCTGATCAGACAGTCACACTATTTGCATCTGCTACCAGCCCCCAGGACTCCCCACTCTAGTAAAAAATAACATCAAAGTCATGGTGGGCAAGATGCAGGGAGCCTGGCATAGGAGCAAGCAAGCGGGTGGATCTATCGGAGTTACATTGGACCTATGGTCCGACCCAGGAAGCAGTAGGTCTTATGTCTATGGTGGTGTCTCCCTGACCTCTATGCTTCTGGTCCCCTGGTCCCTTGACCCTGGGTTTGGCTCCTATCCTGGACTCTGGCTGTGGGTTTACCCCACTAGATCTCTTTCCTAGTTCCCCGCCCCCCAGTTCAGTTACTGGCCCTCGGCTTGTGGATGACCCCATGGATCTGGCTTTTGGTTCCCAGGCCCGGATCCCAGCTTGTGCGGTGGACTCTGCCCCGGCCTTCCCTCCAGACATAGTCATTTTGGTCTCTGATCTCTGCCACAGCAGGACACAGGAGAGGGGGCATGATGGACCTAGGATCTGTCCCAGTCCATGGCACTTCTGATGTTCTTCTAGGCTCTTATGACAAAGCCACCGTAGTCCTTCCAACCTGTCCCCAACTTGGGAATGATATAAGTAGGCATCTGACCATGTCTTCCCTCTGTGTTGGTGCCTCCCAATAGTTACTACAATGATCCTTCTTCCTTTCCCTGCCTGGTTCCAGTGGGTCACCTGTCCTGGCCCCCAGCCAGCCCCTCCTTCCAGCACTCCTGTTTCCAAGCACCAGTCACATGGCCAAAACTGAAAGTAACAGGTTTGACTTTGCCCAGGACACGATGGAGCCTGGGGCTGACTTTGCCCCCTGGCCAGCTTCTCCAGTTGTAGCAGCCATGGGGAACCTCCTTTCTTGGTTCATGACGAGTGACAGTCCTGGAGGAAGTAAGGCTGGAGATAAAGTAGGTTCCTAGACTGAGGGCATGGAGGCAATGATGCAGGGTGGCTTGAGAGGTATGGTAGTTTTTGTGTGGCATATTTAGAGGCACTGGGCATCCTGGCTAGGTTCTTAGACACCATTCAGGGCTCCTCTTAGATCCATAAATCATAGTTTCATAGTTTCATAGTTTCAGGGTCGGAAGGGACCTAATAGATCTTCTAGCCCGACCCCCCGCCAGGGCGGGAGAACAACCCAAAAACACAAACAAAACCACTCACCCTAAAAACAAAAACGGGACTCAAATGAGTCCAGCCAGGTAAGTATCCAGCCTCTTCTTAAAGATCCCCAGGGTAGGGGCCAGCACCACCTCCCTTGGAAGTTGGTTCCAGCTCCTAGCCGCCCTGACTGTGAAGTAGTTTTTTCGGATGTCCAATCTGTACCTCCTCTCCATCAACTTGTGCCCATTATTCCTTGTTATGCCAGCAGGGGCTAGGGGAAACAGCGTCTCCCCCAAACCCTTCTGGTTCCCCCTAGTGAGTTTATAGACGGTCACCAGGTCCCCCCTCAGCCTTCTCTTGTGGAGGCTGAATAGGTTCAAGTCCCGCAGTCTCTCACTGTAGGGTCTGCCCTGTTGTCCCCGGATCATGCGGGTGGCCCTCCTCTGGACCCTCTCCATGTTGTCCACATCCCTCCTGAAATGGGGCGCACAGAACTGGACACAATACTCCAGCTGCGGCCTGACCAGCGTCGCATAGAGGGGGAGGATCACCTCCCTGGCTCTACTCGAGATGCACCTGTGGATGCACGACAAGGTCCGGTTAGCCCTGCCAACCATGACCTCGCATTGTCGGCCCATGTTCATCTTGGAGTCAATAATGACACCAAGATCCCTTTCCGCCTCCGTGCTCTCAAGTAGGGAGCTCCCCATCTTATAAGTGTGCTGCTGGTTCCTACTACCCAAGTGCAGCACCCTGCACTTGTCCGTATTGAAACGCATCCTGTTCCTGTCTGCCCACCCCTGTAACCTATCCAGATCCTTCTGCAATCTCTCTCTCCCTGCTAGCGTGCTCACCTCCCCCCAAATTTTGGTGTCATCAGCGAATTTAAACAGGTTGCTCTCCACCCCAACATCAAGATCGCTGATGAAGACATTGAACAGCGCAGGGCCCAGGACCGAGCCCTGAGGGACTCCACTACCCACCTCCCCCCAAGTCGAATATGATCCATCCACCACCACCCTCTGAGTGCGACCCTTCAGCCAATCTGCAATCCATCTGACCGTGTAGGCATCTATGCCACAGTCGCCTAGTTTATTAATTAGGATGGGGTGAGAGACGGTGTCAAAGGCCTTGCTGAAGTCCAGAAAGACTACATCCACCGCGACACCTGCATCCATGGCCTTTGTGACCTGATCATAAAAGGCAATCAGGTTGGTCTGACATGATCTCCCCCTAATAAATCCATGCTGATTGCCCCTGAGCATCATCTCGGATGCCGGCCCATCACAAATGTGCTCCTTGATGATCTTCTCAAAGAGCTTCCCCAGGATTGAGGTAAGACTGACGGGCCTATAATTGCCCGGGTCCTCCCTTTTCCCTTTTTTGAAGATGGGGACCACATTAGCTACCTTCCAATCGTCTGGCACCTGGCCCAAGCACCACGATCGCTCGTAGAGCCGTGCCAGGGGCCCTGCAATAACCCCAGCCAGCTCCCTCAGCACCCTGGGGTGGAGAGCATCCGGACCCGCTGACTTGAACGCGTCCAGCCCCTCCAGAAGCTCTCTAACCCGGTCCTCCCCAACCTGAGGTCTGAAGGTGATCCCCTCGCGTCCGGCTTCTATCACAGCAGGGAAGTCCCGGTCCCTGCACAAGAAAACGGAGGTGAAGAATTGGTTAAAGAGATTTGCTTTATCCTCTGACGCAACCACCAGATTGCCCCGCATATCCTGCAGGGGCCCCACATTACCCGGCGCCTTCTTCATCCTCCCAATATATTTGAAAAAGGACTTTTTGTTATCCTTAATCCTGGACGCTAATCCGAGCTCTATCTCCGCCTTGGCCTTCCTAACAGCCCGCCTGCAGGCCCGAGCAGAGGAGGTATACTCCTCTTTGGAGATTACACCCCCCTTCCACCGGGCGTACGCCACCCTTTTGGCAAGCAGGCATTCCCGGACACCCTTGGTGAGCCAGGGGGGCTTTTGGACACTGTCAAACCTGTTACTTTCAGTTTTGGCCATGTGACTGGTGCTTGGAAACAGGAGTGCTGGAAGGAGGGGCTGGCTGGGGGCCAGGACAGGTGACCCACTGGAACCAGGCAGGGAAAGGAAGAAGGATCATTGTAGTAACTATTGGGAGGCACCAACACAGAGGGAAGACATGGTCAGATGCCTACTTATATCATTCCCAAGTTGGGGACAGGTTGGAAGGACTACGGTGGCTTTGTCATAAGAGCCTAGAAGAACATCAGAAGTGCCATGGACTGGGACAGTAGTGGGGACAGTCATAAGGCGTGGGATCCATTGTTGTTTCATTCACCCCAATTTCAGCTGCTCCTGTCTCTCCAGGTCTCACCCCCCGGACGGCATTGATGAGAGAGGATTTCCCGGCACCTGTTTCCCCTGTGACAGCAATCTTCAGTGTGATGGTTTCCAATGACTCCAGCTCCTCCCATGCTTGACTGGCCGCTTCTTGGTAATCCCAGGAGAAGAATGACTTGAATGATTCATAGATGTCAAAAGATTTGGCCAGCAACTGCTGTGAAGTTAAACCTTGATATGGCCCCATGGCCTGCAGGAAAGTTTCCAGAGATAGTGTCCATTCCTAAAAAGGATGGGACAGGAGAGTTAGGTGGTCCTGTGTGAGCACATGACAGTAGCAGTAAATCTGGGCTACAGCTGTCCTATGTGACTTTTCCCCTCCCCGGTTCTCCCTGCTCATATCAGCCAGGCCCCAGCCTGCTCCCTGAGTCTGTAGAGAACCCAGGAGTCCTGGACCACAGCTCCTGTACTCTAAGACACTCCCTCCCCACAGCTGCCACAAGGCAACTGGGCTCCCAGTCCCTTGCTCTTATCCTCTGGACTCCACTCCCTTCCCAGATGGAGGACTAGAACCCAGGTCTCCTGGTGCTCAGAGGGAGCTCTCAGAAGCGTGTGTGGTGTACATGGCTAGAGCTGGGGGTAAGGGTACATGACACCTGGGGTCACTCCCAAGTTCTGGGAGTGGAGTGGGGTACATCGGGTTAGACCTGCTTCCCCCATTTCTATTTCTGGACCTGGGACTGAACCCAGGCTTCCTGGCCAGTGCTTTGAACCCTGACCCGGCTCATTCAGGAAATGTGATCCTGGTGTGTGTGTGGGGCGTGTGCATTTGGCACGGATGGGGGGAGTTACTGGAGGTGACAGGAGTGACTGTCATGCAATTAGCTTTTTTTTTTTTTTTTGTCTCCTAAAAATGCATCCACCTAACTCTCCTGTCCCATCCTTTTTAGGAATGGACACTATCTCTGGAAACTTTCCTGCAGGCCATGGGGCCATATCAAGGTTTAACTTCACAGCAGTTGCTGGCCAAATCTTTTGACATCTATGAATCATTCAAGTCATTCTTCTCCTGGGATTACCAAGAAGCGGCCAGTCAAGCATGGGAGGAGCTGGAGTCATTGGAAACCATCACACTGAAGATTGCTGTCACAGGGGAAACAGGTGCCGGGAAATCCTCTCTCATCAATGCCGTCCGGGGGGTGAGACCTGGAGAGACAGGAGCAGCTGAAATTGGGGTGAATGAAACAACAATGGATCCCACGCCTTATGACTGTCCCCACTACCCCAACATCATGTTCTATGAACTGCCGGGCACTGGATCTGTGCATTTCCAGCCAAAGACATACCTGAAGGATGTGAACTTCAGTGCCTATGAGTGCCTTCAGTGCCTTGTGGGTTCTGGGCGGTTCTGATCCAGTGATGCTGACCTGGCCCTGGAGATCCAGAGGATGAAGAAGAAGTTCTACTTTGTGCAGGCCAAAGTGGACCAAGATTTAGAGAATGAAAGAAAAGCCCGTGGAGAAGCCTATAATGAAGATGACATTCTTCAGAAGATTCAGGAGGACTGTAGGAGACAGCTGAAAGCCTTAGGGGTCTCCAGTCCTAAGGTTTTTCTTCTCAGCAACTGGGATATAGCCAAGTATGATTTCCACCACATGGAGGACACCCTAGAACAGGATCTTCCCCATCTGAAGAGGCAGGTGTTTCTGCTGAACCTGCCCATCTTCTCCAGGATAATCCTGGAGAAGAAAAGAGCCATGCTAAAGAAGCTGACCTGGCTCATAGCCCTGGCCTCAGCTGGTGCCAGTGCTGTTTCTGTCCCTGGTGTCCCTTTGCAATGCAATATCCAGCTCCTGCAGGTCTCCATGATTGGCTTCTACAAGCACTTGGGCCTGGATGAACAGTCCCTGAGCCATAAGTCCAGACAGGCCAGCCTGCCCTTGGCCAAACTGAGTGGGGTGATGAGATCACCACAAATCCAGAACATACAGCTTCCCCTTGTACAACAAACCTGGGTCCAGGAGGCAGGTCTTGTACTCAAACAATTTGTTGGATCTCTGATTGGTAAGCCAGTAAGTGCAGGGTACTCTTCCATCGTCACCCTAAACCAGGCATCCCGGGTTCTGGATGAACTGTATGCTGATGCCCTCCAGGTTCATGCCAAAACTCTGGGAAAAGAAAAAAATTTAAAGCATCTGGAGGAGTCTTGGGGGGGCATAGCTCTGGGCAGAGAATGGAAGCACCAATCCTGCCATGCTGTGAAACATAAGACCATAAGGCCACAAGAATTGCCCTGTCTTCAGTCTGACCCTACGTCCACCCTGCCCAGCCTCCTGTGTTCCAAAGACGCTGGAAGGGAGAGTGACCTGGGCCTGAGCTGGGGGTTTTCCGTTGCAGCCTCCAGCATAACCAGGAAGTTTGGATTCACAGGCCCTGCCCCTCACTCCCCTGCTCAATAGCTCCTCATGCCCCTTTACTCCAAGAATGGGTCCAATCCCTTTGTGCATCTGTCTAAACTCTCATTTTCTACCACAATAGGTGGCCGCAAACTCCCTCTTCTTATTCCAGGGTGGGTGAAAAAGAACTTCCTGGTGTGGGTTTTGAACTGATGACTGGCTAGTTTCACACTGTGTATGGTGAGACAGTCGGTAATAAATCCTTATCAGCTTTCTCTTCCTCATTTAGTGTGTTGCAAACCTGGATGCCTGGGTTCTCATGTGTGTATGCATGTTTCCTGGATGCCTGGGTTTCTAGAAGAAGAGGGGGAAGAGGGAAAGAGGGTTCTGAGAGGGGAAGGGGAGAGAGAGAGAGGAGGCAGAATAAGGGAGGGGAAGAGGCGGGCAGTGGCAGAGGGAGAGGGAGTTTCAACCCAGCAGCAGCCGCAGGAGCATTTCTATCCAGGCAGTAGCAATGGAGTCCCCAGCTCAAGATGGCCTCCCCACTTTCTGCTACCCCTTTCCACTCCGCAGGTATTGCTGCCCCTCTTTACTGGTCAACAGTCTCCATCTCCCCCTGTCCAGCTCCCTGTTCTGCCATTCTGCCATCAGCGGCTGCTCCTGGGCATGGAGCTCCAATTTGACAGGTAACTTGGACCTCATTGCAATGAAGAACTCCTGGTTTCTGCTTCCTTCTTCAGTGGGTTAACCTGGCTGGGAGCCCCTCGTATGTTCAGGAAGTCTCTCACTTCTTTCTACTGCTGTCATACAGGATGACACATCTCATCACGGGCACCCCCCTGCTTCAAGCCCTAGAGCTTCCACTGCTGGGATATGGAGCATCAAGGAGCTCAACAAAGAGCCCTCTGGGTCCAATGGGGTGCTCTGCAGCAGTGAGAAGCACCCTTATTAGTCCTACTGTCATCACATTTCTGCTGCAAAGCTCCAGCTGCTGGCTGAAAGGTTGAGAAGGGAGTGTGGGGTGCTGGGTTCCTTGCCAGCTGGGTTGTGACATCCATCCTGTTTTGCATCTTTCAGAAGGGGTGAGATAACAGGCCTGGGGGAAGGAAATAATGGTGTGTGGTGGGGGGAGAGAGCAGAGGGGGCTCTAAAAGGGGATGTCTAGGAGCCGTCTGCTCCCTCAAAGCCAATGGGCATTGAGGAATGCAAGTCAAATGGGTCCATGAAGTTGGGGTGTGTGTGTGTGTGTGTGTTTGTGTGTGTGTGAAAAAGCAGGTTCAGGAATGCGCGCACAGACAGCTGAGGGTCCGTATCTGGCAGTCAACACACATTGTTGCTGCAACACCAGTCATGTATGGTGTCCCACCTTGGGCTTTGGTGTGTTTACTGCATTTGACGTCCTCTTGGTGTCTATTTGTCTTCTCCAATAGGAACCTTAGGTGCAATGGCCTCGACCTGAAGCAGGGGAAATGGGGGCTAGAGATGAGGAGGAACTCTCCAAGCACAATGGGAGTCGAGCAGTGGGACAGGCTTCCCAGAGAAGTGGTGGAGTCTCCATTCTTGGAGATCTTCAAGGGCAGGTTGGGTGGATGCGTGGCTTGGGGTGGTTCAGTCAGGGCTGATCCTGTCATGAGTAAGGGGCTGGGTGAGATGTGACCTCCTGAGGTCCCTTCCAGCCCAACTTACCCATGGTCCTATGATAAAGGCAGAGAGGAGCCTGGGAAGAAGTAGCTGTCATAGCCATGAGGTCATGGTCTTTCCAGCACAACCCTCCCAGTAACCTCATCTCTAGCCTCCCATGTCTTCTCCTTCTGCTCTTCCAGATAGAGCTGGCCATGTCTTGAGCAGAAGCTGGCCTAGATGCCTCCTCCTGAGGTCTCTTCCAGTCCAACTTTCACATGAAGGTGAATGAACCTGGATGTTGTCATCCATGTGGCTTGGACCAACAATGGTGTGGGAGGGATTCAATTGGTGTCTGGGTCTATAGCTCAGCTTGGACCCTCCTGCCTTGAGCTGGGTGAGAATTAGCTGCAGCTGCTGGTTGCTAGCAAGGGCATGTGGCTCTGATTTATTCCTGGATGATGAGACTGCTACATCCTGAGACCCAGAACATTGGTTCAAAGATAGGTGACCCTGGGGGAACATATCACTCAAGGGCTGCATGCTCACTACTCTTCACCACTTCCCCTTTCTATCACTCATGGGAGCCCCAATAAGGCAGAAAATGAAAGTGCTGAGGTCGTGGTCCTGGGTTCAGCTCTCAGGACAGCAGTTTCAGATGCTGGTGCCTTTCTGCAACTATCTCCCACCAGCTCCTGCTCTGAACATGGTACACTGTGCATCTAGGAACTCTCTCTGCATTGTCCAGTGGGCTGTGTGATGCTTCAGTCCCTGATTCAATTTGGTCCAATTCAGTGGCAGAATCTCCAAATCAAATTGGAGAACCCTTTAATCTCTCTGAATTGAATCAGAATCCTCCAAATCGATTTGGAGAGATTCAGAAAGATTTGATGATTTGGACATAGACACAGCTTTAAATATTTTTTCTACGTATCTCAAGGTACTGTGGCGGCCGAGTGGTAGGCCGGGGCTATGGCCAGTAGCCCAAAATGGCAGGTGGGTACTTTTTGACAGACGGAGAGGAACTAGGCATGGAAGCGTATTGGTTAAAATAAGATTGCTTTACTTACACTGTAGATGATACGATACAGGTAGGCTGAATGCTGACTTGAACTTGAATTACAGTTGCAAAGACGACTGCTAGACAGGAAAGGGTACGTCGGGGAAGTCGGTGACGGGGAGTCACTGGTGGGTGGTCAGTCCATCAGGTTTCCTCAGAGATATGTACGGAGTTCGAGCTCTCCGAGTTCGCTCTCTGAGTCCTCCTTCTCCGAGGTGTAATCAATCCAGGTTCACTCTGAGATACGTTCGGAGTGCGCCGGGTTAATTCCCCTACTCCGAGGTATGTGGAGTTCTCCAACGTGGAGACAGAGTTCTCCAAGCTGGAAAGAGATGCGGAGCTCTCCAACGTGCTAAGCTGGAGAGATATGAGGAGTTCTCCCAGTTCTCTGAGTTCTCCGAGATGTATACGGAGTGCTCGCCCATGGGCGGAAACTGATTTACCTTTTATATGACTAACAAGCCAATCACTAGCCACTAAATATGAATAATTTGGAAAGAGCCAATGGTGGTGTGCGTATTTGCATGAAGTTGGCGGGAACTTTTTCTAAAGCTGTACTTTTCCATTACTGTGGCATATAGTTACATAGCGGAATTTTCCCACTGTGACCCACTTTTTTGCTGTGACCTAGTTTCTCCCTGTGCCATATGCATCAAACCAGATCCATGGAATTTTCCATCATGGCACAGGCATGCAAACCAAATGGGATGTTCCACTATGCCAGGACTGTAATAACTGCTAAGTGAGGCGACGGAACGTACCAACCTAAAAGTAACAACAGTTGCTAGGCAGATTCCATTGTGTCAAGAAGACTTCTCAGTTTTGGTTATGACAGGTACCAGGCAGCTTATGAATGCTGCGATGTGGGGGTGCATGGAGCATCCCACAGAAGCATGGGAGGCTACCCAGTGCACTTGGCAGCAGACCCGGAAGTGGACCAGAAGTACTTTGGGTCCACTTCTGGGTTCACTGTTGAGCACACGGAGGATCCCCTACACACACACACACACACACACACACACACACACACACACACACTCCTGTGTGATACTCCATGCGCCCCAGCATTTCAGCATTCACAAGCCATGCTGGTACCTCAAGGTATGTAGAAAAAACAGTTAAAGCTGTGTCTATGTCCAAATTGCTGATTCTCCAGATCAGCATTGGATCTTCAGATTCAGATTTAGTCAAATCAGATCAGGAACAGTGATCTGAAACAACTCATTGAATCACTGTCCCTGATTTGGGCTGAATCTGAATCCGAATTGAATACGGCCCACTTTGCACACCCCTACTGTCCAGTGTCCTGTTACCCAGGTAAGATAACAGTGACTCTTCTCTGAATCCATCTGACCCCACTCTCTCTTCCTGGGAGGGAAAGCTTTTTGAGGTGGAGTGGCTTTTCAAGGTGGCCATGCCCCTGGTCTACCTCAACAGCTGCCTCAATCTGCTGCTTAATACCTTTATGGGGGGGGGCTGCCAGGATGTACTGTGGAGCTCCTTGGTGGCCACTTTGCACACAGCATTTGAGGAGGACTCAGGTCAGGACAAACCCCCCTGGCACTGGGCACGTGGGAATCAAGATGAGAGGAGGCACCATGCTCAGTCTGGAAAACCGAACCCTCTCCTGGAGTGTGAGGAAAACCTAGACATGCAGACAGGTGCAGATCTGGAGGTAGAGGTGGTAGTGAGGCAGTTCCACCCTCTGCCCCTTTGATTCCTGCCCCAACCACTGTCTAGGAAAGGCAGTTACATTTCTAGAAAGACAACACTGAGGGGAGTGTCTGTTGATTACATGGTTCCTTATAACCTAATTGAGTCCTGCTAATCTCTTCACTCCATAGGCTTTAACACCCCTTCTGTTTTTGGAATGGTCTTGATGTGCTGCTAATAAAGATCTTCATTCTTCTGCCATGTTGTTCTCTGTTGCTCCACTCCCAGTAATGTCTTTCTTCTATTTCTTAGCCCTTCACACCTTCTTTTAGTTGTAGCTAAATGCCTTGAGGCAGGGGTGGGCCTATCTGATGCGGAGGTGGGCCACTTATGCAGGTGTGGCCAAGATGGACAGTAACATGTTGAAGGCACTGTCCAGATGTTTGAAAAGGCAAGGTTTTGTTTTCCTGATTTCTGAATAAGTGACTGACAATTAATTATACTAACTACTGGTTAAACAAAATGATTTCTGTGGATTATTTTGGTTCAGGTGGCCATGGGTTTTTTTTTAAAGCCTTTCATATATGAAGCTAGTAAATTTGCTCATTCCAGTAAAGTTTGTGGTTGTTTTTATTTTGAGTGAAGCTGGACTGAGCTGGTGCTAGGCTCTGGGCATTTCAATAAAGCTTTGAGTTGCTCTTTAATTGGAGGAAAAGATGAGTCATACTTTTACATGCAGTAAAAGGGGGTTGCAGAAGTAGCAGAACCCTAGATCCACCCAGACTCCCAGCCCCCAAGACACCACGCTCCAACCAGTCCTGAGCATAGGACCCAGGCATCCAGATTCCCAACTCCCCTTGCTCCAACCCCACAAACCACACTCCTCCCCCAGAGCTGTAGAAAGAACCCAGATGTCTAGCTCCTAACCTCCCTAGGACACCAACCCCCTCTCTTCTCCTATAACTTGGGTGGGAACCCAGTTGTCCTAGCCCCCTAGACCCTTCTCTCCCAGAGCTGGAATTGATCACAAGTATCTGGGTTTCCAAGAAACCATGTTTTAGTACCCTGGGGGAGGAACCCAGGCATCTGACCTCCCAGCACCTCCTGCTCTAATCCTCAGTCCCCTCCCAGAGATATTGGGAAATGTTATTGGGGGCTATTGAGCTAGGGTAGGAAAGATGGGACCTGGACATCTGGGTTCTCTCCAGCTCTGGGCATCCCGGTAAAGGTTTGAGTTGCTTTTTTAACTGGAGGAAAAGATGTGTCATATTTTTACATGTGGTGAAAAGGGGGTTGCAGAAGCAGCAGAACCCTAGATCCACCCAGGCTTCCAGCTCCCAAGACCCTACTCCCCCACCCCGAGCTGGGCTTGAACCCAAGTGCTTGGGCTTCCAGGCACCCATGTTTTAATATTTCAAGCCCCCGCACTCCCTCCCAGATTGGAGGGAGCACCTAGGCATCTGGGCTCCCACTCCCCCGCCCCTGCTCAACCCCCACCCCCAACCCTCAGTCCTTTCCCAGGGATGCGGGGAAATGTTATTGGGGTCTATTGGAATAGGTTCAAGAAGTTGGGAGCCCAGACAATTGGGTTCTAGCCTAGTTCTGGGAGGAGTCGGGTCAGGGCAGGGGGCTTGGGAGCTGGGACACCTGGGTTCTCTCCAGCTCAGGGACTGGAGTGGGGTCTAGGAGGGTTAGAGCTGAGTAGCTGAGGGCCTGGATATTTGGGTTCTTTCCAGCTCTGGGAGTGGAGTCTATTACTTGGAGCAGGACTGAGCTGGAAACTCGAGATGCCAATGGGCTATGGTAGGAGGGATGGGAGCCCGGGCACCTGGGTCTTCCCAGTTCACAGAGAAGAGAGGGATCTAGCGGACTGGAACAAGGGGTTGAGACTCAGGACACCTGTGTTCTCCCAGCTCTGGGAAGTGAGTGGGACCTAATGGCTTCGAGAAGGCAGGACTCCTGGGGTTTCCTGAGTGGAGCGGGATCTTCTGACAGTTTGTCCTCTTTCCCCGCCCCCATCCCCACTGTCCTGTTGCCTGGGCTCTTTTCCCAGACTGGTCACAGTGACTGGCAGTGGATGTTTGAGGGGAGAAGTGTGAGAGGTCTTGAATGAAAAGACTCCAGTGGGGCAACTGCTGGAGCAGAGTTGGGTGCCTCCCCCCCAGCCCCCTCCATGGCCTTCTGCTGCTCCCTAGTGGTTGCCCCAGGTGTTACAGCACACACCCCTCTGGAGCAGGGCAAAAGAACCCAGGCATCCCAGGCCCTCCCCTGCCTCTCCAGGATCTCTCCCTTATCTTAAAAGGAAATGGGATCCAGTGGGGGACAGGGGGCATGACATCTGGGTTCTATCCTAACCTTTGGAGAGAAATACGGCCTGGGGGATTTGTGGGGATGGGAGGTGCTGGGAGCCTGGGCTCTTTGAGGGGAGTGAGGCCTGGGTTCCTTCCCGGTACTGGTAGGTTATAACCACTGGGGCTACTTCCTTCTTCCTTTA